AAACAGCTTTCAGGTGAGGAAACCATTTAGGCTGATAGGCCATCTGCTTACCTGTAGTAGGTATCTCTGTAGTTATAAAACTTAGATTAAAAATAAGATCCATGAATTAAACAGCTAACCAGATGTCCTAGTCAATATCTCCTATCTTAACAAGGTGAAAAATAACCAAAGTGTGCTATGATATTTTACCCCTTTGATTTGCCTAAAAGTTCCTATCAGTATTCCTTTAAGTATCATTTAAGGCAAATTTTATTTGGAAGCAAGGAGCTGAGTGCAAGAATGTTGTACATATCTAGGGCCTGAAATTTTTCTATCATCTTTTCGTAAAAATACAAAAGGTGTAAAAATAGTTATTTGACTTTAACTTAATTTTTATGTTTCATATTATAAATTGTATATATTTAGGTATGCAATATAACAATCAACAAAATTAAAAGGCAACAACATTGGAAGAAAATATTTCCATGTATCCAAGAAGGAGTCAATATCCAAAATATGCAAAGAACTTATACAACTCAATGTCAAAAGAACAACAAAAACAAACTAAAAAGGCCCAGATAATTCAATTTTAAAATGGGCAAAGGACCTGACTAGTCATTTTTCCAAAGAAGGCATACAAGTGGTCAAAAGATTTGACAAATAGTAGAAGAGAATTTCTAAAGAAGGAATGATTCATTCTCTTGTTCTGTTTCTAAGCAGCCAAACCTGACTCAGAAAGGCTGTTCAAATGTCAACAGGAAAGATTTTAATAACTTATAGCATGGGAATTTAGCAATTAGCATGTTTTTCTACTTTAGTTATAAAACTGTTGCCACTGTTCGGTATAATCAAGACTCTCATCAGTTCTGGAAATAAAGCATGAATCTGGGTCAAGCAGCTAAAGTTGAACTTCAAAAGTTCAATTTTGAGCTTTCTTCTTATTTAACTCATGCTTTTCCTTAATTGAATCAGACTCTCTAGTATGGTATAGAGAGTCTCTTGAGAGAATCTGCATGTCTTGCTTAAACTTAGGTCATAGCAGTACTGGTGATTGGTCAAGAATATATTAGTATGCAAATTTGAATTTACTAAGAATTATATAGTGGTGTGGGTCTTTAGGAAACAAATTCACAATAATCCCAATTATAACTTATAAATCAGAGTGTCAAATTAAGAAGCCAATTTATACATAAAAAAGAAACCAATTTATAAAGCAGAGTAGTGATTTATTGTTTGCTGTATATGATACAAATGACAAGAAGATTGATACTGTTCATCAACCATGGAAGTAAGAAAGTTGAACCAAATCATGCTTGAACATATTTGAACGTTACCTCTACCACTTATTAATTGGCAAATCAATTAACTTCTCTGTGCATTGGTTTCCTCCTTTGCTAAATGGGAATAAGGATAGAGCCTACTTTATAAATTATGTGATTATTAAAAGAGTTAGCATGGACGAAGCACCTAGCATAGTACATGACAAATAAAATATGGAATGACAGAGAAAGCACTACATACACATGAAAGGGATAGTGTTATCCTTGAGTCCATCCGTAAGAACTAAGAACAGATAAGAAAGTCAGTGACATCAAAGCAAAATATGTTTTGAATGAATACAAGAGGACTTCAAAAAGTTTATAGAATAACAGAATTAAAGTATAAGTTTATTTTGGTGTACAAAAAAATGAAATCTGTATGTAGCTTTTGTAGAGAATGCATTTTCCATGAGCCTTTTGAAGATTACATTTTGCTGTATAGATCATTATGCATTCCTGTGACTGAAACAAAGACAACTAAACTCATACCATTAACTCTTTCTGAAACTTAGTGTCCAAATTTGCAAGATGACAATAGTCAGTTCTAGTAAAGTAGTGCTGTGAGTACTAACACAGAATTGTGCACGTGAAGGACCTGGCACAGAATCTGGCAAAGAGGAAATGCCTGCTAAAGAGCAGCTACCTGTCAAGATAAAACAAGGAAATGACTACCTTCTCAGCAGTATAGATAATGTCTCGTCTGTAAAGTAGGGAAATGCCTGTGCCTGGGAGCTGACAAAGAACTGCGATGATATGCCTAAACTAGTTAAGCTCGCACTTGAAGCACAGAAAAATTCAATGAAAATTAGCCATGCTGAAAACTATTTGATGAGGATGTGGATTTTAATGTCTTTGTATTGACTGGTATGCATGGTATTTCTTCTGGAAAAATAAATACACCATAATACACCGTAAAGTTATACGTGATTCAATGTAATGTAAACAAGGTTATGATAATAATATTTTTTTGAAATGGGAAAATTAGCCATGGTTATTCTTCTCTTCCTTGTCCTTTTGGTCCTGGTCCTTCTCTTCCTCCTCCTTCTCATTCTCTTTTTTTTTTTTTTTTTTTTTTTTGTTTGTTTGTTTTTTTCTTCTTAAATAACTACAATGAACTCTTATGAGGAGATTTGAGGGTCACCCTAACTTTTTTAGTGAAAACTTGAGAAATGTCCAATCCCAAGATCCGTCATCTTTGTAACTAATGTCTCTCTGGCTCACTGTTGTGCATCCGCCTTTTTCTTGCCTATGTCCATGTCTATCTAGCAGATTAACAGTATTTCTGCAGAGGAATTGATTTCTTTGCTACCTATGTGGATTATTATTAAGTTCGACTCAAGAGTCTGTATTTTTATCTTGTGCACACATCTGGAGCTGAGTGGTCTGTTTCACAAAAGAGATCATCTTTTCAGGAATTTCTAACATCTACTGTAGTTATTAATTATAGATAAAGGCAGACATGCATGAAATGTTTTTTGATCATTCTATTTCATTCTCCTTAATTTGTAGTTTGGGCATTTAGAATGAGAGAATTTTAAATGCAACATTTATTTTAAGATATGTAAAATATAAAGAAAATGAAAACTACCGATTATTTCACATTTATTGATCATTTTCTTATATTTATTTCCCAGCATTAAAAAATTATTTTATTTAACTTTATTTATTTACTTATTTCAATTTGACAAGAGAGGCACAGAAAGAGAAAGTGAGAAAGCAAGCTGCCAGATCCAGGACTCAAACCACATTCGGCCATGTGGGAGTCCAGTACCCTAACCACCATGCCATCTGCGGGCCCAACTTCCCAGCATGTTTTAAAAATACTGTTACTTTGGGACCAGCAGTTAGCATAATGGCTATGTTGCTTGACTCATATGTAGTCGAACGCAGTTCAAGTCCCAGACCTGGGTGCATGTGTGTGCGTGTCCAAGATCCTGAGAGTAGAATGGGAGGGGAAGAGATTGCAGCATGGCCATCCCCGCTGGGGGGTGATTTCTTGCTTTCTGTCTCTCTGTCTCTTTCTGTCGAGTGCAGGTGCCCTGTAGCAGAAAACCTCCCTCCCCCCCCTCCCCCCCAAAAAAATAATATTGTTCCTTTGAATAGAATTTGGACTTTTAAATGTTGATTTTTTTTAACTTTCCAAAACATTTTTACACATTTTTTGAAACATTATTCTCTGGGAACTATATAATGTCCCATTGTATAGATATATATTCTTATTTAGCCTTGTCATTATTTTAGGGTATTTAGGTTATTTCCCAATTTTGCTACTATTAAGTAATTCTGCAGTGAATATCTTTTTATAAAAATCATTTGTAGGCCAGCCCATGGAATGGTGGCTAAGACAGCTGGATCCCAAATGGCCTAGTGTGATTCAGATCCTTTATTTGTGGCTTAAAAAACATTCCATGTTCATGGGTGCCCAGAATCCTGAAAGGAGGGATAGAATGAGGAGAAAGGTTTTCAGCATGATCATGCCCCATGGGGAGCACTTTCTCATTTTCCCTCTCTCCCTCTCTCTGGTGAATGGAAACACACTTTGGAGAATTTTTTTTTAAGAAATGTTCATATTTCTATGTTTGAAACTTTTTTAAAAGTGGAGTTAAGTTAGAAGTTCATTGTTGGTGTTCATGTGTGTTTCATTTTGCTAGGGAGCACATGCACTTGCCATAAAGAGACAGAGAGAGAGAGAGACAGAGAAGGAAAGTGAAAAAATAGCCCCCTTGGGGGATAGTCACTCTACAATTCCTTCTCCTGCATTTCCCCTTTATGGATTTTGGGCACACTGCACATGCAACTGGCGTGTTTTCCCAACCTGTGAGTCCAATGTGAGATTCAGCAGCCTTAACTACTATGTCAGCAACTGGCCCCAGTTAGGAGAGGTGTTAAATTCTTACTAGGTGAAGTTGGATATAACATGGCCAAAAATGTGGATTGAATCTCAGGCCCAATGACTTGACAATACTTCAGGAGTGTGTGTATGTATGCCACAAGTCCAGAAGGTAGGGAGAGATAGAGGTGAGGGGGATTGCATTGTGACCAGCCCCCAAGGGGGCTGCTTTCTCAATTTTTTATCTCTGTGCCTGTCTCTTTCTCTGCCTCTTTTAGGGAGTAAATGTGCCCATCACAAATAAGTAAAATCTACTACAATTGCATAGGAGAAAGAATACAAAGATTAAATCCTAACCAAAGATATTTACTGTGGTATGAGCCTAAAGCTGTCCATACAGGACAGTTCCTTACAGGACAGTTCCTTAAGCAAATCTGCGTGGTTTTAAAGGCTATTTTGGTAAAGAAAATTAATTTATTTCTCAAACATGCTATTTATTTCATGGTTCCAGGTAGATCTATAGCTGTCATCTAAGAAAGAATAATTCCTTTTGTTTAGAACAGCTAAAAATCTTTAATTCTGAAAGCAATATAACAATATGTTTTGTTGCAAGTTAAGAAGGCTTCTAGTCTTATAATAAAATCTGTACTTCATGTACCTTTTCATGTCTTAAAATTTATTTTTCATTTTGCCTAAGCTTAAGAAATAAGGATGAAAAAATATATATCAGAATATATATGGGATTGATTTGAGGGAGAGGGCTCCATGAGAATAAACCTGCTGCCTTACAATTACCTGCCATGCCAATAGTTATTTACTTGGAAATGCTTATTGTTTCTTTTATTTTCATTTTATCATTGGTGCATATTTAGTGTCCAGATCCATCATGCAAACAGGACTTGCTGGCCTACCTGGAACAGATTAAGTTCTACTCCCACCAACTGAAAATCTGCAGTCAAGTGAAAGCGGAGATCCAGAACCTGGGGGGAGAGCTCATCATGTCAGCTGTGAGTACCGCCTGGCACTTACCCCCTCACGGGGGAAGATGGTTGGAAAAGAGCAGCTACACCCCTGCTCCCACCACTGAAACTCTTCAGTTCAGCTTAGGGCAAACTCATTTGGAGTTTGTAAGAAAGTATATGCAGTTAAACTAGCAAGAAATCTTGCCAGGTTTTCCTAAAGAAATCTTAAGTAGATACAACTTGTTTTTATTTACTTCAGAAATAAAATAAATCAGATTTCGTAAGCTTCTTGGTTGAGGAACTTATGTTAATTTATAAAATCATATTCAGACTTCAGAAAATGTTCAGATGGAACTAGAATGGAATTCCATAATTCTTCTAAGTTTAAGGCATGTGGAATGGCAAATTAATAAAATGGTCATTTTATTGCTATTAATTGATACTCATTTTCCCTTTATTCATTTTTATAACATAGAAATTTAAATCTTGAGATTTTTTATTTCCACATGTACTTTTAGAGTGGACTATGAAAGAACATTATAGATTTATAAATTCTTTGGTTGCTCTGAGTTTTGAGCTGCTATAAAATTACCATGGTAAAAATAATGTCTAAATTTTGTGTTCATCTTTTAATAACAGTAGATTATTTCTCTGGTGTAGGTATGGTAATAAAATAATATTTGATATCTCTATTGGATTCAGTTATCAGTGACTTTGAGGAGGACATGGACCAAGATGATAAATTTAAGTTAAAGTGAAATATTATAAAAATTCTAGGAATTTATATTACTGAGGACAAGTTAAAAATATGTATTCCAGTATACTTTTTAATTTGCAATACCTAAGGCCTCTAAAGTCTGGAATCAATGAATAAGTGGTCTTAAAGAAAAGGTAGTTGCAAAACATGAGGGAAAATCAGCATCTAAAGTCGGGGAGAAGAAACTAATCCTTACTGATATCTCTTGCCTGTATTTTACCTTAATCTTCACAATAACATGCCAGATAGATCACTTACTTATTTGTTTTCTTTAATACATGATAAAATTAAATTCAGAAAGGTCACATAGCTTTTCCAAGGTCACATTTGTAAATGTCAGAGCTGGTGTTGACCTAAATGTCTGTGCTTTCTTTGTTCACGTAGACAACCTGGAATCGATGATGAAACTGAAGAGCACAAGTCAAAGTGAATAGCTCGTATAATATATTATTGGGTTGTCTGAAAAATCATCATGCATTTTTGCATAGAAAAACATAGAAAAAGAAGTCATGACTTTTCCAATGACCCATGACTTTTTCAATGACCCAATATTTTGTGGGACTTCTTTCTAATTTTCTATCCCAGTAATTGTCAAAGGAAAAAAAAAAGAGATTTAGATTCCTTGATATTCAAATTTTACAAAAACACATCCTCAAACATAATCTGTTAGTATTGATGCTCTGTCTCTTTTCCAAAAGAAAATGCATTTTGAATACAGCTCGCATGTAGTCACATACAGACAGAAATGTGTGTATGTATAAATACACACACGTATGTATACATGCTTGTATGTCTCTATATTAACAGTTATCTGTCAGTGTTCACTGGACTCCACACAGAAACCAAAACTTCTAGATGTTTAAGTCCCTTCTAAAAATGGCATAGTATGGGCCAGACTGCAATGTGGTGGGTCGGACGTTGGATCCCACGTGGCCTGCTGCACTGTTTGAGGTTTGGGTCCAGTGGCTTAAAAAACACACTAGGTCTACATTTCCAAAATCCTGAGGGAAGAAATGAAGGAGTAGATATTATAGCATGGCCATGCCCCTTGGGGGATTCTTTGTCTCTCTCTGGTGAGCACACGTGTCCTTTAGCAAATCTTTAAGATGGCATAGTATTTGCATATAAACCATGTGCATTCTCCCATATACTTAAATGATCTCCAAATTACTTATAATACCTAATACAATACCTATACAGCATTCATTTGCATTGATTAAGCATGCTACTTGCTATGTAGTAAATTCAAGTTCAGCCTTTTGCAGAGTTCCGGAATTTTTTCTGGAACTTCCAAATAATTTTAACCTGTAATTGATTGAATCTGTGGATGTGGAACAGAGGTCATACAGAGGGCCCACTGTACACACGACATATATGGGTCTGTGGTGTGTGTGTGTGTGTGTGTGCGTGTGTGTGTGTGTGTATTTATATATTCAACTCAATGAATTTTTTTGTTTTTTTATTTAAATTTATTTTACATTTATTCACTGTACATCATTATAGCATACAAAATGAGATTTTTTCATCCAGAGTACACTATATATTGGCTCAATCAAGCGCATGAACATACATGTTATTGTCAACAAATAATTTTCCATTTCTTGTTTCCAGTATGTTTTGCTTTTTTTCCCCATCCTTGATTCCCTATCTCTCACCCTCTGCCATCTCCCACTCTCATTCCACACTGTCTCTGGTATCTATGTTTGCTTTCTATACTTTTTTCCCCCCACATTCTATTGAGTCACTAAATATCTTAATTAATCTAAATATTTTCATAGCAAGCACAGCTAATATATACATTTCCATGAACACAAGTCTAACTTTAGCCATAAACCTCAGTGAGTAGAATAAACATCCTATAAAGTAGCACCTAGCTGGGGCTACATATATTACTGCAGTCACCGACTAGGTATTGTTAATGCATTTTATTTTTTAATTTCAAGAAAAACAGTTTTAGTGTTTTTTTTTTTTCCTGAAACTGTTTTTTTTTTTTAACTTAATTTACATTCAATCCCTAAGCATTATTACGGCATACAAAATGTTATTTCCCATCCAGAATATACTGCATAGTAGCTTAATCATGCTTGTTATTATCAAAAATTTTCCATTTCTAGTATTTTTTTTTAACCCCTATTTCTGACCTTCTGTCCTTTCCCACCGTCTTCTCACACTATCTCTGGTGTCTACAGTTGTCTTCCATTCCTTTCCTCTCAACACTGTATTGATCACACAATTTCTAACTACCTTAAATAGCAAGTTCACTTGGTACTATTAAGAAAACCAGTTTTAACTTAAATCAAAGAAATGCTAAGGAACTTTGCTTAAAACTTAAAGCCTAGAATCAGTTTAGTATTCTGTTCTAATGGTGGGTACATGAACCTATTGACAGCTCAAGACAGGACAAAAACTCTTAAAACTGGACAACAAAACCTAGAAGAAAAGCAGCAATATTTTAGTCAAAAGTCACAGAATTCTATTTCACCAGTTCAGACTCATGTACTTAATCTTGTGTTGTGGATCTATCTTCCTGATTGAATTCTGGGATATAATATTCAACTCTAGACTTGTCCCTATAATTAAGTTGGCCATTTTCTTAGTTTTTGAACTTTTATTTCTGTGTGACTACATTTAATTTTCCTGATATAGTAATCCCATGAGAACTTCTTGGAGATCTGGTCTGGTGCTGGTAAATTCTTTCAAGTTTCAATAATCTGACAATGTTCTTCTCTTTTCTTCCCATATGAAGGATAATCTTGCCAGGTACAGTATTCTCGGTTGCAATTGCTTTTCCCTTAACACTTTGAATATATTTTCCCATTCTTTCCTCACTCGCATTGTTTCTGATGAGAGGTCTGCTGTTAGTCTGATGGGATATCCTTTGTAGGTAACTTGCCGTTTCTCTCTTGCCAATCTTAGTATCTTGTCTTTGTCTGTGGTTTTGGTCAGTCTGGCTATAATGTGTCTTGGAGAAGATCTTCTTGGGTCAATTCTATTTGGGGTCCTTTGTATTTCTTGGGACTGGATCTTTGAGTGCCTCTCTAAGTTTGGAAAGTTTTCATACAGGATTTCATGGAATAGATGATCAATTCCCTTATGAGTCTCTTCACCTTCTAGAATGCCAATTATCCAGATGTTTGGATATGTGATGGTATCTAGTACTTCTCGTATATCATTCTTATTTTTGGGGGCAATATTTTCAGTCTTCATGGTGGATTTTTCTGGGCCAGCAATTTTCTCTTCCATGTCTGAGATTCTATTTTCTGAATGATCTAGTCTGCTTTTAATACTTTCAAGGGAGATTTTGACTTCCCATATTATAGCCTTCATCTCTAACAGTTCCATTTGATTCTTTTTTAAAGTGTGTAATTCCTCTTTTAGATCATGCTAGAATTTCCTCACCTCCTGGAACTCATCAACTTCTTTCTCCTTTCTCTTCTGCAGTTCCTTGTCTCTCTTCTCTTCCATCTCTGTTGGCTTCGCCATTATGAATGTTCTAAATTCTTTATCAGACATTTCCAGGGTTTCCATTGTACTGCTTGTGGATGAAGAAGAGTTATTTTTTTCCCTTGAAGGAGAGGTATTTTCTTGCTTCCCCATATTTCTTATGGTCCTGTGGTGACTTCTAGTCATCTGATAGATGGTGTGTTTCTTCCTAACTCTTGAAGTTCAATTCTGAAATGACTCGTTCGCAGAAACCATGAGGAATCTTCTTCTGAAGGGCGGCTTCCGGCCTCTGCTGCCCTGAAATGACTAGTCAGCAGGAGCCATGAGGAATCTACTCCTGAAGGCCTGCCTCCCACCTCTCCTGTCACGCTAGCTTGTTTTCTGGAGGCTGAATTATCAGTAGGAAATCTTCATTTCTCTTTTACCCTGAAATGACTAGTTTGCAGGAGCCATGATGAATCTTCTCCTGAAGGCCTGCCTCCCACCTCTCCTCAACTAAATGAATTTTTATCTTGGACTGTTAGACAACCAGCTTTCTCATTTAACAATATGCTACTTTAAATGTGTAAGATTATATATTTATTGAAATTCAAAATAGGACTTCAGTTAGATTTTCTGTTTTACATACTCACTATCCTTTATAAGATCTAAATCCAAATCAATTTAATTTTCCAAATATATTCTACTTCTTGTGTTGTCTGAAACTAAGATTTCAAAAACTTTTGTTCAAGGACCAGCTTTTACATCACAGTTAAAATATATTACTGTTAATTGTGCTTCCTAAGTATAATTTCCTCCAGTATAAATTGAGTTTGTATTCCTTCCTGTTTGGTATGATAATTCA